GATCCTTTAGTCTTCTGGATGTTTGGGGTAAGGCAGGTGTATTAGCCTACTAGGGTTCCCATAACAAAATACCACAGACTGGGTGGCTTAAACAACAGAAATTTATTTTCTAACAAATCTGGAGATTGGGGTGTCAGCAGAGTTGGTTTCTTTCAAGCTTATCTCCTTGGCTGGTAGATGTCCATCTTCTCCCAGTATCTTCACGGGGTCTTTCCTTTGTGCCTGTGTCTTAATCTCCTTCTTATAAGGACACCAGTCACATTGGATTAGGGCCTACCCTCATGAGTCATCTTACCTTAATCATCTCTTTAAAGACCCTATCTCCAAATATAGTCACATTCTGAAATACTGGGGGTCAGGACTTGAATATATGAATTTTGGAGGGGACACAATTCAGCCTATCATAGGAAGGAAGCAGGAGGAAAAGGGAGGTAGTGATAAGAAAATTACTCAAAGCTTGCTGTTGGAGTATTGAGTTCTACACTCAACAGGTACAGAACTGAACTTATCATCACCTCCTTCTCCTCCCAAATCCACTCTTCTTGTGTTTTCTGTTTCAGGAGGGACCATCGTCATCTAAGCAGTCACAGAGCCAGAAACCTGGAATCCTCTTGGGCTCTCTTCTCCAGCTAATCCCTGTTACTCTATTAAACCCCTAATGAGTCCTGCAATTCTACCTTGGAACATATCTTGACTCCTTCCCTCATCTCCTTTCCCATGGTCTCTACCTTAATTTGGGCTATTTATAATTACTCACCTGGATTACTGTAATAATCCCCTAATTCATCTTATTTCCTCAATTCTGCCCTTTCTCCCTACTAAAATTCATCCTCCAAACTGCTCTAAGAGTAGTCTTTCTAGGAAAAAAAAATCTGGTCATGTCACTTTCAGATTGAATTTCTTTAATGGTTCCACATTGCTTTAAGCATAGAATTCAAATTTCTTAGCTCTAACATGCAATATAATTCTTTCCCTTCAGTCTGATGGTCACATGCTTATTTCTGGGTGAGCATTATTAGACCCAAGCAATCCAATACGCTGATTGGCTAAAATAATTAGGATCTACTCCTTAGGGTCATCTTCCCTGGAATCATGGGCTGGATGGGGGAAAGATGGGGCCCAGGACAAAATCAGGGTTTCACTAAGAATGTGGAGGAGGAAAGAGACAGTGGGTGTCAGGCAGGTAACCAGTAATGTCTTCAGTCTGTTCCTTCACGGAATTCGCAGCCTAGTGGTGAAGACAGAAAAATAAAGGCAAAGTTACAGTGCAGTGTGATAAGGACAATTGTAGAGTTTTGCGCAGGGTGCACAGTAAGCATGAAGGCTCCTTTGTAAATTAGACCAGGGCTTCAAAGAAAGTTTCCTAAAGGAGGTGATACACAACCCAAATTTGTGAAAAATGAGCAAGAGTTAACACATTGAAGAAGAGAAAAGAGGCGTTGTGGCAGCAGGAACAGCAAGTGAAAAGGCCCAAGAGTCATGCAAGAGTCACTGGGGAGCCACACATCATTTGGGTTGACCAGAGAGGAACTATATATGTCATATAAGTTTTATTCTATAAAGTTTCCGATAATACTTCTGTTGTATTCTATAAAGCTACTGTGTATGTACTGCTAACTAAAGGCCAAACACGGTATGCAATTCCACTTAATACAGCACTCTGGGGTTAGAATGTAAACCCCAACCGAAAGATGAAGAAACTCAGACTAAAAGGCTAAAGAACTTATACAGGGTCATATAGACCTGGCTCTAACCACTTTTATACACAACTTTTCACTTAGAATTCAACCTCATGAAACTTTTTACCTCAAGCAATGACATAGGCTGAAAACAAATAGAATTGTAGGAATATACATTTGGATATATTTGAGAACAAGATATCTAAGAGAGATTGAAGGAAAACCCTGTTTCTAAAGTACAACTTCTCTTTTTGACCAAGTCCTCTGATGGACTATTCTTTGGCATACATGTCAGGGATAGAACACAACGGTCAGTTTCTGACGCAGGGTTCTTCTGTCACCTGGCTGTCACCAGTCAGCGATCACATTTCTTAGCTCATGATCTGCCCCCGTCTCCGCTGGAATGTCTCTTTCCCCCTTCTTCAATTTGCTGCCTTTTGTTCATTCTTCACAGATTCAGTTTAAGCATCACTTCCTTTAGGAAACTTTCTTTGAACCCCTGGTCTGGTTAAGAAAGGAGGCTTTGTGTTCACAGTGTACCCTGTGTAGAACTCTACAACTGTCCTTATCACAATGCACTGTAACTTTGGCTTTGATTGTTTCCCTACCCCCTCACTGCAGTCTGTACAGTCTAAGATAAGGACATTGCGTTCTTCTTTTTCCTCTTTCCTAAGAAAACCTCAGTTTTGTTCAGGTCTCTGTCCCTCCTGCATGTGGTCCACGTAGCTCAAGAAAGGCTACCTCTTTCCTCTCACGAATGGATCTGGTTGTTTAAGCCAGTGATTCTCAACCAGAGGTAAGTTTTCCCCTCCAAGGAACATTTGACAATGTGTGGACACATATTTGGTTGGCACAGCCAAGGCTTGCTCCAGGCATCCACTTGGTAGAGGCCAGAGATGCTGCTAAACATCCTACAATGAACGGGGCGGCCCCCTATCGCCTCCCCACTGGGCCCCTGGGCCCCATCAAAGAGTCATCTGGCCCCAAACAACAAAATACTACTGAGGTTGAGGCACTCTGGTTTAAGTCAGTGTTTGTGTGACTTTGTTTCCTGATCGTTAATGGTCTAGGGATGAATATGAACCGTACGGATGCAAGGGACTGATATACCATGAATGGGAAAAAGATGGGATGATAAAGCTAGAAAGCTGGATTGTGGTTACATTGTGGCGAATTTTAAGTGGAAGACTAAGTATGGTCTTTGTATTGTAATGGAGCAGGGAGTAAGTGCCGGGATTGAAAAGTATTTCAGGAGAGTAGGTCTACCATGTCACCCGCAGGATAGATGGGAGTGGGACGGAGCATGACAGCCAGGAGCGCCTGAGACAGCTATTGTTACATTTCCTGAGTGAGGTGACATGGTGGGTGGTCCTATTTAGGTCCCTAGTGGTTAGTGTAGTCTCCTACACCTAGAGGGACTCAAGAATGTTTCTTGAATAGTTGGTTTGCAACTGTTTTCTGGAACACAGTAAATAGATTATGATTCTGACCCAGTGTTCTTATTACTTAAAAGATCTGTGTCACCTAGATGTCTGTGATTACACGTGGAGAAAAAATAAAGTTTAATAAATTCCAAATTTCCCTGTGTTTTGAAAGGACATCATCTTAGGTAAATTTTGCATAAACACTAAAGGCAGTTTGTGTGTGTGTGTGTGTGTGTGTGTGTGTGTGTGTGTGTGTGTGTGTGTGTGTGTGTGTGTGTAGAAATGTTTTCTTGTAGAAGTACCTTTTGAGCATACTTTCCTGGGATAGATTTTTGGTACATGTGGCAGTGCCCTGTTGGGTTTCGAGTCTGACTCTGAGGTGAATGCCCAAGATCTCAATGTTGGGGTACCCTTTACCAGCTTCCTGGGGCTTCAGACGTGCAGAGGCAGCCCCCAGGCTTCTGCCCTATCCCACTGCCCCGTTTACTCGGCAGACCTGCCTTCCATCACTTTCCTGTCTGGTGAACACTAGCCCTGAAGGCATTAGGGAAGTTCACTGAGACTTGTTTTTTCCCTTTGTTCCTAGTAATGGTTCCAAGGTAAGTTTTTTTGGCAGGAAAACGACTGTGATGTTTTAGATTAATTCAGGGAAGCTCCTAGTGGACCCCTTAAACATCGCACCCACTGGCAGCCTAATCAGTACTTGCTGCTTTGGTAGTGTGCAAGGACATCTATAGTCCTGGCAATAAGCTTACAGAGAATTTATTCTTTATAATTGAGTGTAAAACATTGCTTTTTAAGGTGTGCTTTTCTGTACTCGAAAAAACTTAAGACTAAAAAACAAGACATTCTATAAATATATGTTTAATAACTTAGTTTTGTAAGTCCACCCCCCCTTTCCTTTTGATTGTTATAATGGAAAACATTGCTTTCAGTGATTAGAAGTAAAATGTTGATGGCAAATTTAAAAGACATTACGATCCTTTATATCTTTTTTCTCTTGGCAAAGCAATTTAATTAGGAAATAATCTTGTCCTCTAACATCTGACAATTACCATAAAATTATATCCCACTTGGTTGGCAACGAAACCAGTTTGTTCGAATTTGTAGCAAAATTTTGAGCTTTTACATTACTGTGAAAAGACAGTCAGATTTTAAATTAGAAAGATGAGGTTTAAAAAAAATCAGAAATGCAAAGAACCGCTTTTAAAACGCAATCTCCAATTTTCAGAAGTATGATTTCAGTGGGGCTGAGAGTGGGGAACCTACTAAATCCTTCAGGGAAGGAGAAGGGAGCACCTGGGGAGGGTGCTGATCACATCAGAGCTCAGCTCTTGCTGCCTGTACACGCGTGTGACTGTGTGCACGCACGCGTGTGTGTGTATGTGTGTGCCTGCGTGTGTGCGCGCGCGCAGCCACAGGGCCGCTGGGGTGCTCGGGCCGCGGGCTTCCTCGCGGCCGGGAGCGGGGCGCGCGTCCCCGGCTGGGCAGACCCGGGTCGTGCGCAAACGCATGCAGCGCCGGCTCTTTGTGTGTCTGTGTGGCTCCGCGCCGCCGCGGGCACCATTTTCTGCTCGGCTCGGGACAGGCACATAAAAGGGAAGGCGGCTGCCGCCCGTCGCCGTCCTCTTTCCCTCAGATGCCCTCTGCTGCAGGTTTATTATTACAGTACGGGCCGCGCCGCCTCTCCCCGCGGCCTTGGCCAGCCGCCGGGCTATGCAGCGCCCTGGCCGCCTTCACGCTTGGCTCGCCCCCAAACCGCCTCCTCCGCCTCCTTATTTGTCTGAAAAGCAACCGCACGTCGAGGCGAAGAAGCCCGCCGGGGCAACAGAGGCCGGGCCGGCGTGAGTGCGCGCCGCGCTGCGGGGGGCGGGGCCGGGGCGGCGCGCCTGTCTGCGGGCCCCTTTGTCCCCCAGGCCCGGGCCAGCGCAGTGGGGGCAGCGGGGTGCCCGGGGTGCCGAGGGCCGGGGCGCGCGCTCGTTGGCCGCTCGCCGACCGGGCCCCGAGTCGCCGATTCCTGCCGAGTAAGCAGTCTGGCTCCGCCGCGGCAGCACAGTGGCAGCAAGGCTGGGGCGCTGGCGCCGCACCAGCCCATCAGAATTAGCTCATTGTTCACTAGCACACTAGCAGCAGAGAGGGGGAGAGAGAGAGAGGGAGAGAGAAAGAAACTGACTCTTAGAGAAAGAGAAACACTCTTGGAGAGAGAGAGAGCGCGAGGCAGGGAGACCTTCCCCTCCTTTTTCCAAGGCTGCACTTCTTGGAAGTGAAGCTGGTTTGGGTTTTGTTTCCCTTCCCCCTCCTCCCTCCTCTTCCTCCACCCCTTTTCCCTCCCCCTGCCCCCTCTCCCCATCCCCCAGCTGTCTTTCTAGCATGATACCCTTTTTCATCCACATTTGTGTTTCAGGTGTAGAGAGGAGAGAGTGAACAGGGAGCGGGGCTTTTGTCTGTAAGTATATGCCATTCCCATCCCCGGCCGGGAGCGCTGCTTTCTCTTTTGTGTCGATTTCTTTCCGTTGCTCTTAGCTGGACCCTTCAACCCTGCAGAGTTCATGCTTCTTCCCTCTTAATTTTAAAGAGCTGAAGCGTGTACTTGGAGAAATTCTGGCATTTTGGGTCCTACTGCATTAAGGCTGGAATTTAACTTGGGCTTTTTTTAAAAAAATGCACAAGTTAAGAGGGAGAATTCTTTTGCGAAGGGGTGGGGTTTTTTGCTTGTTGGTGTGGTTAATTTTTGTTCTTCTTGCTCATAAAGCATTGTTAGGAACTGTTTTGTTTCTTTTCATGAGATGCACTTTGGTGCATGCAAGCCTCCCCCCCCCCCGCCTTTTATAAAATGAATTTGTGTCCCTCCATCCTTAGACTTTATTACTCTTTCAAAGCTGCTGTCGCCTCCTGGGGTCTTTCCAGGCATTCGATCTTGCAACACTTTTTTTTTTCCTGCATTTTCTTATAAAGCAGTTGAACTTCAGGGGAGGGAGGGCTTAAAAATAACTGACTGCTTTTTGCTTGATGATGATAATAATCTCATTTGCATTTATATGTATCTGTAATACCATTATAGGAAAACTCGAAGAGCTTAAGAAACCCTGTTAGAGAACTTTTAGTTTCTCCATTCATCTTAATTTTTGTCTTAACTTATGTTAACAAAAGAACTGTGTTCTGATGACACAAAGGTTGAGAGGAAAATCACTGCAGCATGTACATTAATGTTTATTTGGTTTAGGGAGAAGGGCATAATGGTGTATATTCCTGACTTTTCCCCCTCAGTGTAGTTTTTTTTTTTTTTTTTTTTTTTAAGCACGGAAGGTTATGTAATGCAGTGCCATTTCCAAAAATATCCACTCTGAGGCATTACACTACGCGGTGGAAGGCTGATTCCTATTCTGCTGTCTTGATTGCAAATATACTGCCAGTAGTATGTCTGGGAACAAAGAGCAGCCAGAAAACAATCTATTTTTATCACTTGGTTCTACTTTTAAGTTTGAACTCCTGCAATTTAAAGATGAACCCAACAATAAGAATAGCCCAGGACTCTGGGAAGCTAGGTACCAGGGATTCCTTTGTCCCCTATTTAAGCCTACAGACCGATTGAAAAGCTCTTTCAGAAGCCCCAGTGGTTACAATAATTTGCATGTAACTTAGCTTAACCACAGAAAATGGTTATTTGTCTGTAGCCTCTAAACAGGCTTTCTCATTTGCTGACCTGTGGTGTGGCAATTTGTCTACTGTATTTAAACATATTTTGCAGGTTGGTTGGTCTCCTTGGACTGAAGAGAGGGAGGGTGCAAGGCCAAGACTGTTAAGGATTCTCAAAATGGTAAGCATTGGTCATCAGAGGAGATTCTCAATTGCTTCTTATTCGTCTTTATTCCATATAAATATCAACCACCCACCTTCATCCTGCTTGAACCCTCCATTGTTCCTACCCCATCTGACCTTTCAAAGGTTCTGTCTCTAGCCTGGGGAGCTTTGCAGTACAGCAATTTATATGAACTGGATGTGGTGAATTAGGGATTAGGTCTTTTGATTTTCAATCATTTTGAATAGAAAACTGAAATTCCTCTTTCAGAAAGGGCGATTTATTTAACTCCAACAACAGAAACCATTCTGTTCTTTAAGAAGAGTGATATGTTGTGACATGCGTGGAAGAGATGGCAGCAGTAGGGTTCAAACAAAGCAATGAGTCTTCTGTTAGAGATAGCCAGAATTTATCCCCCAAAATAGGAGTCTGTGTCCAGCTAATCCAACAGCTATAGAATCTGCTGTCTTTAAAAGCAATATATACATAGAGCATGGACTTTTATATTAATACACTGTCTATTGTATCTCAAACATAATTAGTGTTTTTTTGTTGTTGTTGATTTATAACTTCATTTATGAGAGATATCTGCTCAGTTTTAGAAGATAAGCATGTTATCCTCTAAATGAAAGTGTAACTATTTCTGACAAGCATTATGATCCACAGAGGAGGAAGTTAAGTGTTTGATGACTGATTAAAGAAATAGATGAAATACACGTTATAAACAGTTGAATAAGTGTATTAATTTTCTTTGAAAAATTTCCTCTATGGAAATAAAGTTGAACTGAAAAATAGAACAGAAATGTCATGAAACTTTTCACTTAAGTACAGCATGTCCTCCTGCAGATGTTTATGCTCTTTAAAACACCTCTTTGCCACTTAGAGTGTGTGATTTCCAAATTTAGTTTTCATTTTTTCTTTTAAACGAGGGAGGAATTTAATGAATCAAAATTGAATCCGATGTACTTGATGTTTTCTTTGAGAACAATCCAAGTATAAGCTTCCAACGAGAAAAATGAATCAGAAGCAGTTAAATGAATTCTGTTTGAATTCTGTTAATAAGTAAGCTCTTATTTTTTGTATGTGCCTCACCTGTAATTTCAACAGGTGGGTGTCAAAGCACCTAATCAAATAGATCTTGTTTGGACATAGATTGATAATGACCAAATTAAGGAACTTAAGGTTGGAGGCAAAAGGGATGAACAGAAAATTAAACTGATCAGTAGGTTTTGTGCAAATGGTTCCTAACTCCATATTAAATTCCTAACTAGCCATTGTCATAGAGTTCTAGGATGGTAATAAAATAAACTGCTGCAAAGTATTTTTGTTTATTTAATTATCTTTTACTGTGACTGGCCACATCATCATGTCTTATAGCTCTTTATCCCAGAACCTTACCCTTTGTGTCACCATACATAGACCATGAAGATTCATGTGTGTTGTGATATGTCAGGTGACCAGTTTGGTTGAACATCAGTTTGACCACTGACTCTGCCAAAACTAGCCCTATAGATCAGACTCAAAGAGTAAATATCATGTTTCCATAGTAGTGAGCGGAGTGAGCTTTGTGGAAGGCAAGCATGTGTGCCAAAGCCGAGAATGAAAGTTGGAACGATTTGCATGCCGAAGAGCAAATTCGAGTTATTACTACATGTTGTCAATTTCTCACAGTTGTCGTTTATGTATGGTGGCAGAATGAGAAATCACAATTTGTTGCTCTTGGAAGGATTTTGAGTCATGGAAAAATTCTCACAACTTTTTGGTGATCCTTTCATCAAGATGTCAGTCCCTTTTGGCACAAGCCCATTGCCTGAAATGAAACCACCGACAGTTATTGTCCGTGGGTGATTCCAAGTAACTTTCTAGCAATTCTCTTATTCCAGGAGGTCTGAGGTCTTCAAAGTCTTTTCACATTCTAATGTTAAAAAAAAAAATGTTTCGATTGTGTTTTTTTTAAAACTGATATTAGAGGGGTCTTATACCTCCTTTTCTCCTTTTTGGAAAAATGAAGTTATTTTCTTTCCTTGATTAAAACAGATTACTTTGCTGATCTCTGTAACTGGCTTTTTAAAGACTTAGCCCGTATACAGTAGAAACTAGTACTAGGGAAGCAATAGAGTTAACACCTGGCCACCTCTAGAAAATATACAAACATGCCTTTTCTGTTAAATGTGTATTTCCATTTACATAATTTAAAACATTAAAGAGGATCTAATTTCAGTGTATTTGAGCTGCTTAGTAAAGGGCCTATTCCAAATACAAATTTATAGTCAGCTCATTCCAGAGTAAGAAATTAACTAGTAGACTCCAGAATTCAAAACAGAGTGATTCAATATTTAGACATTTGACATACCCTAAAGTGATGTTTCACAACGATAATTTGAAGGCACTAAAGAATACTAATGTGCCTTTTGCATTACCAAAAAAATACAACTGCTTTGTTGACACTACAAGGCTTTAATCACATTGTATTCTGTGTGGGGGACCCTTTGGGCACAACTCCAGGGGGCACCATTTACATAGACTACAGTTCATCTGGGGTTGTGCATTTTAGGAGGACTGTTAAAAGTTTTAATTTTGAGTGTGGTTTGCCTTATCTTAGTTTTCTAGAATTTTTTTTTAATAACTCATCCCTCAGCTTTTTCAGTTTTCTAGTAAACATATGTTTTTCTAGTCCCCACCCCACCCCCTTCTTTGAAATTAACAAGATATTGTGAGTCTGCAGAAATCTTCAGCATTTCTTTAATTTATATTTGGCTTTTTGTTAAATTTAATTTCTAAGATTATATTTTATATGGGTCCTTGGTTTTTACTTAGCTGTTTTATTTTAAAGGTACTTGCTTCAGGTACATCACTGAGAAGAAAATACTTCAGAATGAGCAGATGGGTCTTATTGAATAGTTTGAAAAACTAAATTATTTAATTCAATGTCAAGAGTAAGTCCTTATTTTCAACATGACTACCCTCTGTGCTGTAAACTTGCCTCCAAGTATGGATGTGCCATGGATTCACAGTGGCATAAGCATGGGCTCATTATGTTTTAACAGAGACCTAGGAATTGGAACAATTTTAGATTCTCTCTAAGACCGATGCTGAGCTTTTCAAAAAGATGAGTTGACTCCATTGTACCATTCATAGAGCTCTGCTTTCTGTACAGTCTGTGAAGTGGCATTCATGGGCTTACAAGGAGACTCTTTCAATAATCTCTCCATTAACATAAGGTTTCCTTGTTTGAAGAAAAATACAAAGATTGCGGAGGGATGAGGTCCTGTTGGTAGCTGTGCCGTTGGGTTTTGGAATGTAAATTTACAAGTTGCTTAGTGATTCTTGATTGTGGAGATGCTGAAAAGTACCTAGGAGGGTAATTTTAGATGGTACTATCTTCTCTTTCACCAGGCCTTCTAGCACACTGTGAGGGGAGAATTGGGAATTGTTTAGGGAATGAGGACAGTAGGGATGGTCTATCTGGGTTTAGCCCCAGTCCTGCTTCCTCTTGAACTAAATAGATATTTCAGGCAGGAGAAGATATTTAAGCAGAAATCTTGGAATAAACAGTTATTTAAAGCACCATTCTATTTTTTTGTTTGTTTGTTTCTTCTATTTTAACCTGATGCAATCCTTAAAAACTGGCATGTAAATCAGATCTTCATAAATACACTGAAGGAATTCACTTTATTTTAAACCCTAAGATGAATACTTTAAAATCAGAAAATACACTTCTAAAATATGAATACTTTAGTAAGCCAAATGAGTAACCTCCAGATTATGAGTCTTATACATCCTGTTCACTTACATTGGACCGACTGGGAGCCTTGGAGTGAAGTACTGTGGCTTCCTTGCTCTTGCACATATTTTTTTAAATGCTGTTTCTGGCTGGAAAGTCTTTTAAGGTCTTATTCTCACAACCAAAGTGAAGTGGAGGGTTGAGATAATTATCTGAATAATTATGCTTAAAACAAAAAAAAAAAGTTGATTTTTGTCTGATTCATCTTGGCTATTCAAAATGTTGCTGGAGTGAGGTAGGAGTGGGAGGGATTTGCCTGAATTATCTGAATAATTCCTTTCTTATTCAGGAAAAAACTAGCAGTAAGGAAATCTTACCAGCAAATCCAATTTGAGTATACCAGAAAATATATTGCATGTACATGGACTGTGTCATCTTAGTTGATCAAGATACATTTAAAAAATTCTAATTTTAAACCACTCCTTTGCTTTGTACTGGAAAACAGGTTAACCATAAATCTCAGCCCACAGCTGTAGAAATTATGGTTACTAAAAATATTACTTATTGGTTCTAAATTTATCTGAAATGGGTATTTCTGGACATGTTTTGCACCTAAGGACAGCTTCAAGAATCTCTCATCTCAGTGGTTTAAAAAACAGCAGTGATCCTGAAACTGATCTATTAGCGCATGACAGTATTAGCAGCTCTAATGGTTTGGGACTTAAGCATTAGCATGGCTCTCAACTAAATTCTAAATATCAATTCAGTTATTAGTAGCAGTGACATGGTATTAACCTAGTGTAACACTAGATTATACTCTCTTGCATTATTTGTTAGTTGGACCACATACATTTCTTTCACTGACCAGCTAAATTATAGGCTCCCAGAGGGTTTATAAACTTCATATATAGTGCTTAATAAAGTATTAAATATATGTTAGAAGCTCAGTAAATATTTGGTCTATACATGCTAATACCTATTAAGTTGGACTTTCAAAAAATTCATCGTTAATGACTTAATCTTGTTTAGTTTTGGTGGACTAGAAGTAATTTGTATCCTTCCATTCTTCTAAAGAGCTAGGAAGCTGAAGTGAGTGTAATTTTAGTTTCCACAGCAAATTATTTTCCTTCCCCTCCTTTTCTTTTTTAATGTACCTCAATGGCATATTGATTGTTTTTAATAAATTTATTTTATTTTATTTTTTTTGGCCACGTTGGGTCTTCGTTGCTGCAGGTGGGCTTTCTCTAGTTGCAGTGAGCAGGGGCTACTCTTCGTTGCGGTGTGCAGGCTTCTC